GTAAGCGACAGAAAACACTAAATATCAAAGCAAATCCCTGGCTGTAACCCCAGCTGTACATTGCTTCTCTATTGTTTGCAGTGTTGTTGTAACCATGTTGTTCCCAGGATATTGTTTCCCTGTGTTCCATAATAAAAGCTTGTAATCAATGCCAGAAAATGTAATACGAATAAAACATAAGGAATGATGTTATCATCAGGTTGGTTGCTTCAAATGATATCTTATGCCTCTAAAGTCACAATAGAGAATCCAAACGGAGCTCAAGTCTGTGTTGTCCAATTAAGGAAAAGGACCAGGCTGGGAGATGGCCAGACATTTTTCCCCATCATGGAGGTTTAAGTAGGCACCAATCATTGTGAACAGAAAATTTCCACAACATTTTTATTGCCAGAAAAAAGTCCATATTTCACCAAAATAAATAACTGGGCAAAATAAAAAAATGAATAGTCTCTAGATGTAACATATCCACCACCAGCTCTCTTGACTCTTTGGAAGGCAGGAGAAACGCTCACTCATCCTTTCCTCTACTTTCCTCAGGCCTCAAACTGAAGCTGCTGTTTTGCTGGGAGAGTAACCTAAATTTGAATTAAGAGACCCACAGTAAATGGCCTGAATTCCTGGAGTCATGTGACTACATCAGACTCTTGGCTTCCATTTAAAATCAAGTTTCTAGGTTTTTTTAGATACAATGAAAATCTTGAAAATGGCTCCCAAGTGTAACTGAGACAGTGATATCTGCCTGAGTGTGCAGAGAGCCTGAGACAATAGCTCTCCGAGGAGGGAGTTGCCCTGAGTGTAATCAATGCAGCAACTCCTGTCTGAGTTAGTGGAGAGACTGAGAGAATCACTCTTTGGGGAGGGGAGAAGCTGGCTTAAATGTAACCAACACAGCAACATCGGCCTGAGTGTGCAGAGAGCCTGAGATAATAGCTTTCAGTTGGGGGAACTGCACCATTCATGTCAATGGAGTGTTGGACCAACTAGCCTTGGGAGGACCCCACCAACCATATCTCAGCACAGGACACTGTGAGTGTAGAAGGAGGTGAAGATCACAGTGGGACGAGCCTCACCCCCCTCCCAAGGCCAGTGGTTCAAACACTCCATTAAGATAAATGATGCAGTTCTCCCCACTGAGAGCTATTGTCTCAGGCTCTCTGCACACTCGGGCAGATATCATTGTCTCAGTTACACTTGGGAGCCATCCTCAAGCTTTCCACTGTAACTTTAAAACCTAGAAACTTGTTCTTAAATTAAAGCCGAGATTTTGCTGTAACCATGTCCTTTGGAAATTAGTGCTTGTGTCTCAATCAAGTGTAGACTAACCCCCATAGGCAGAGAAGCAGCTTCCCATTTGAGGCCCAAGGAAATGGGAGGGAAGAATGAGTGAATCTTTCCTCTGCCTTCCCATAGGGCCAAGGGAGCTGGTGGATGGATGATCTGTTCATTTAGGCCTGACCTCTCACACCAGGATAGAGAGGCAGAGCAGAGGAAGAGTGTCTGCAATTAGACACCTGTGACTGGCCTGTGCCAGCTGACCTGGGATCATGCGGTTTGGGCTGTGGTGTTGTTTCATGGTAACGTAGACTTCTGAGCTTAGGCTGGAGTCTGGGTTCTAGGCCCCTGCGAGGTGGGAGGGTCCCAAAGCAGTGACTGTAGCCCAAGTGTGTAAGTCTGCACTGCAATTAAACAGCCCTGCAGCCCGCGTCAGCTGGCACTGTCCAGCCATGGGGGTCTAACTGCAGTGTAGACATACCCTCAGGTATGTTAGCAGCCAGCCAGGTCAGCCAAACCCAGGGCAGGAGGCAAAGGGAGGGCACAAACTAAGGGCATATTATCCTGGCTTTTTTCCTTGCCAAAATGGGAGTGAAGCCTTTTTGGGAAATCTATCTGCAGTTGTAGGTGCCAAGCTGCTGGAAATCAGGCCCTGACATTTTCACAAGCACCAAAGTGGTTTAGGAGCCTAATTCCTATCGCTAGAGTTATTGGGATTTGGGCTCCTAAACAGCTTAGTGGCTTTTGGAAAATCCCACTCCATCTAACAAGCTCAATGCTGAAACATCACAGTCCAGGAGATGTACCAGGGAACATAAGGGGGTGCAGAGCTTTGTCTCTGTGTAGGTGCCCTCATGACTGTCTGATCATCTCCCAAACGTTAATGGATTTTCTCCACACAACCCCCCTGTGAGGTCGGGGAGGATTGCAGCCATTTTACAGATGAGGAACTAGGGCATAGGGAATATTGAGGGACTTTACTAAAATCATACAGGATATTTGTAGCTGAGTTAGGCACAGAACCCACATCTCTTTAATCCCCACTTAAGCCTAACCCAGCCCAGTTCATCAGCCACTTGACCAGTCCAATGGGAAAAGCCCCAATAAATTCAAAGTGCTTTACCCTAGTATAGCACACACCGTCAAACAGCTCAATACCAGAGCTAGGTGTGAGGCAGAGAATATTCATTTATTTTCCTCACCTAGACTTGCCTCCCCTTCCAAGCTCAGCCAGAAAATCTACCACACCTGGTTCTGAAACTGGGGCCATTTTCTTGAAGTTTCCTTCCCAAGGAAAAGAAAAAAATGGGTGCGAATGAAAACAAACATGTAGAAGTGCTCAAAATTTTTCATTTGGAAGCGGAAACATTGTTGGAAAATGGCCTTTTTTAAATGGAAACCTTTAATGGAAATTGTAGATTTTGAATGAAATATTCTGGTTTTATGATTGAAAATACATTATTATTATTATTATTATTATTATTATTATTATTATTATT